CCTATCAATCTGCTTATAAACTGACCAAACATTCTTATGTGTATACACAAAATTACATTGCACTTGCTCACTTTTTTTTTTTTTTTTTTTTTTTCTTCTAATTTGATTGTTTTGTATATTGATTTGTTAAATTTAATTTTAAATTATATCATATATTCAATTAATTTTTTGAATTTTGTATTGGAATTTGAAACAAATAGTTAAATTTTTGAGTTTTTTTTAGATTGAATTTTTTGGTTGATTATAAAAAAATATATACTATATTAAATTTTTTTCTCATTTTATATTTCTAACCCCTCTAACTCAGAAAATTATATCGTGCTTTAAGGGCACCACGTAGTTTTACCCTTGACCACATACTTATATTTTTCAATCACCTAATATAAAATTACGAATCTTACTCTCTCCACCGATCAAAACTCACCTGAAACTCCACCTGCCCGGATCAGCAAGTAATTAAAATGGTAAGTCTGACATAGACAATAAAAAATCAAAGCAAGCCAATATGGGAACATGAACAGGTAAACAAAAAAAAATAATAATTTACTAATTGACCGTCCAGAAGACTGTGACTGCTTGACCAATAGGTGGATAATCCATTCTAAGAATCCATATTAATTAATCACATATATATACATCTCTAGATTAGGGATGACAATTTGAACCCGACTCGACGGGGACCTGATCTCCCGACTTCGATGAGAATGATTTTTTTCCAAAAAATACCCCCGTGGGGACGGGGATGGTATTCAAAATTAAAACCCCGATCAGTTTCGGGCCGGGGACGGTGATCAGTGTTCAAGTCCCGGCCCGGCCCCGTCCCTGGCCCCGAATTTTTTTCGAAGCAAAATTACCATTTTACCCTCTATATATATATATATAGAAATCAACTTTTTTACTTCACTCACACAGAACCTCAGTGAGTAAGCGTGCAGCCTCACACTCACTCATACTCATCTGCCTCCCATCTGTCTCTCTCTCTCCCTTTCTTTAAAACCGTTGGCCGATCTCCATCTCCCACCGCCGATCTCCCTCCTCCCACCGCCGATCTCCACCCTCCCTACGACTCTCTCTCTTCTCCCTTACAAACCCACTTCTCTCTCTCCTCTACTATCTCTTCCGACGCCGTTGTTCGACGTCGACTCGATCCTTCGATCTGAGACTGAGATCCACCATCGTCCCTCGCTAGATCTTCGCCATTGCAGATTAACTCCAGAGATTACAGATCGATCGAGCATGGTACAGATTTACCAGATCTAGTTTCTCTCTCTCTCTCTCTCCTCCCCTCTAATCTGTGTCGTATGTTATCATTTTATTTTTGTTTTGTGTGTAGTTGATCTGTTAATGTTGAAATGGTTAATGATTTGTTGTTGATCTGTTAAAGAGATCTGTGTTAATGATCTATGTTGTTGTTGATCTATTTGATGATATTGATGGTTTTGTTCTTGTCTCAATAGGGAAGATCTATGGTTTATACAATAGATTGAAAATGATCTATTTTGAAGAGATCTGTTTTGATCTATTTGATGATCTATGGTTTTGATTTATTTTGATTTATTTGATGATAGATCAATATCAGTTGATCTATACAATAGATTGAAATTTTTAATGATGATGATGATGATAGATTACTGAATACAACAGATTGAAATTATTTTTGTTGTTTTTATGTTAAAAAAATAAATAAAAATGAATAGGTCGGGGATTTTCGAGGTCGGGGAAACCTGATCCCCGATCAGGGGCGGGGGCGAGGGGGCTGATGGGGTCCCCGTCGGGGATCAGGGTCGGGGACGGGGAATTTCTCACTATCGAGGACGGGGAGTGTGGTCCCCGGCCCCGCCCCGTTGCCATTCCTACTTTAGATGTGTTCACACACAAATATACACATTTTTTTTTAATCGATGTATATATAAATGCTATTCATGATAAATAAATAAATGACATTCACACAAAAAATATTACAAGATATAAAATTTATATAAAAAATATTACAAGATTGACATGATAATGCTACATTGATAAATAAATATCATCTTTATATAAATTGTTTGTTTGTATATCATTGCTCTTAGGCCATATTTGATTAGTAAGAATAGTGAGCAGATTAACAATTCGTAAAATTAGTGTAAGATTGGTTATTAGCTGAATTAGTGAGATACATAATCCTCTCTTGTCCATGTTTGTTTTACAATAGATACAAAAATACATAATCTCAATTATGTGTATATTCTGCATTATTAGTAATAAGATTAAAAAAATATAATCTCAATTATATGTCTATTAAAATATAATCCGAATAATAAAAGTTGCAATCAACCACTAAAATGTATTCACAAATTAACATCTACCAACCAAGTAGGAAAAATGATAGTGATTGGCAATAAGATCATGCAGCGCAGCAACAATACCCGCAGCTTTGAATTGTTTGCTTTGATTTTTCCATATCTGTTTTATAGACCTTTTTTTTTTTCTTTTCTTTAGTATTTTTTTTGTTTTTTGTTTTTTTTGTTAATTTCTTCACATATATTCTATTTTTTAGGTATATCAAAATTAGATGAATTTAAAATGTTTTAAAAAATAACTAAAATATTAAAAATTCACCAAAGATGAGGAAAAAATACAAAAAAATATATATATAAATTTGAAAACAATTTTTTGAAAATCCAAACCAAACAAATGTTCTTACAAAATGTTTATACAAAATTTTCTACCTCTATAATTGAGTAATGATGTCTATACATATATATTTAATATTTTACAATCAATAACAAGAAAATAGGGTAAGGAAAATTACACTTGCAAGGATAAAATTAAAACTCATCTGGTAAAGAAATAATATATCTATATCTATATCTATATATAATATTTCGGTATGAGTAGGATTTAGGAGAGGAAAGTGGTAAGATTCAACTTACAATTGAGTAATGACATACACATAATTCTTGTACATAATTTAATGATATGGCTCAATACAGTCATATGAGATTAGATTTTTCTAAGAAAATTTGTAGTATTTGTGTAGTATTTTTTATTTTTGTTTGCAATTCAAAATCATTTATATGAGTTACTCCATCCGTCCCATAATATTAGTCCCTTATTCCATTTTTCATTGTCCCAAAATATCAACCCCTCCTCAAAAATCAAGTACAAAAATAATACTTCCTCTGTCCCAAAATAATGGTCTCTTTTGGGAAATCTATTTTTTTTTATAGTACAATTATTGTACTTCAAAAAAAGTTAATTTTCCAAAATTACCCTTTAATAGTACATTTTTTGGAGAATATCAATGTCATAATTGTACTTTTTATATTGTTTATGAATTTAAAAGAAGGGCAAAATAGAAAATTTATACTCCTTTCGTCCCAAAATATTAGTCCCTCATTCTATTTTTCATTATCCCACAATATTAGTCTCTTTTCAAAAATCAAGTACAAAAATAATATAAATTTTCTATTTTGCACTTCTTTTAAATTCATAAACAATATAAAAAGTACAATTATGACATTGATATTCTCAAAAAAATTATACTATCTTCTTTTAAATTCATAAATAATATAAAAAGTACAATTATGACATTGATATTCTCAAAAAAATTATACTATCAAAGGATAATTTTGAAAAATTAACTTTTTTAAAATACAATAATTGTACTATCAAAAAAAAATTAAATTTCTCAAAAAGAATCATTATTTTGAGACGGAGGGAGTACTTGTTTTGGAATACTAGGTTTAAGTTCAATCAAACCGTTTCGATTTCATTTATACTTTTCTTTGTAGAAGACTTGGTTTTTTTGTAGTGCAAACCTTCTCACAACAGCTTTCTTTCTCCCCAGCAAGACTGAGAATTGAAATTCCTTTCCTTGCAACGCAGTAGTTTGCAATTTCGTCTTTGGTTTTCTCTAAGAAATGTTCTCTTTCTGTTCTTTTCCTGTGATTTGGTCTATTTTCTTCCTCTTTTAACTTTTATTTAATCTTTGTAACAAACATTTGTAACTATTCAGTAATTCCAAAAATATATATATAAATGATTTCCAAACTTCACAACATATTAGGTAGGTAGTTCCTAGAAAGTTGTTTGCACCTCTTCATTCGAGTAATTATTCAATAGTCTCAAAACATCATGTGACATCGTTTACGTCATGTTTCAAACCAATCACGTAACATAAAATTTTACAAGTGAGACCTATTAGGAGCATCTCTAACCCATCCTCCATTTCTTCAAAAATGAAGGATTTCCACCTTCTACCCATCCTCTAAATCCATCTCCATTTGAGAGGAAGATGACGGGTTGATCCTCCATATTTGGAGTACGAATGAAAAATTCGAGGATCACTCTAAAATACTATTCATTACCACAAATAAATAGGTAGGACACTAATCGTTTTGTGCACAAAATAGAGATTTGTAATTGAAGTTTGAATGAATAGTAATATAATCTAAATCCACTTTTTGAATTAAAAAAAAATTATTTTGATCCTCTAATTGAGAGGATTGGATTGGACACGCTCTGCCAAGAATACCATGTTGACAACTTGGTTGTGTCTAGAAACGACCAAGCCGACCTAATCAGTTCAGTTCTTGGATTAGCCTTAGGCATGCTAACTCAAACCAACACGAGAACCAACCATAAACACGTTTTCATATAATTGATTGTAAACATTTTTACGGTGAACTTTGCTACACCAATTCATGTGAAGTAAATTTTTTTCTAGAAACTATTTTCTCTAGAAATTTGGGTCTGAAAATTTGGAACCTACCAAGGGCATTTCGGTTTTGGGTTCAGATTTAACCCAAACCAACCCAACAGGTGTCCAGCGATTCTTCTGATGGGAACATACTTTAATCAAATAAACAATCATATTTTTTTCTTGTTGAACCTTGATTATATCCCCAAAGAAAAGTAGATTGATAATGAAGACTGCAACTTTTTTGGAAAATCAGGTCCGACATGTAATCCAGCCTAACAAGGACGTATCATATTTTATTGTAAAAATTGGGACATTGATAACGAAGACAGTCGGACAATGATATATATAAGAGAGAATTCAAATCCGTTGACACAAGAATAGATAACTAACATTATCTTAAAGAAAACAGGTGTGCAGTAGCATCCAGTAAAACTATACAGGAGCATACTAAGGAGTTTTATTGAGGCAACATGTCTGAATTTGTAGCATCATTACCTGAATAAGAAGAAACAAGTACAAGAGATGATACCTCTACAAGAATTTTTCTATGCTGGTGGTCAGTGTTGATTTAGGAACAGCACCGATAACTGCATCTTTCTTCTCTCCGTTCTTGAAGATTATGACAGTCGGAATGCTACGGATCCCATATCGGGTCGCAATTGAAGGACTCTCGTCAGTGTTCACCTTGTAGCATTTGAGTTTTCCACTGTATTCCTTTGCCAATTGATCTATGACAGGGTGGATCATCCGGCATGGTCCGCACCAAGGAGCCCAGAATTCGACTAGAACAGCAGAATCACACTCAAGGACAAGTGTCTGCCAAGTTGCGTCAGTGACAGGAGATACTGCAGTTGTTAAAGAAACAAATGTGATGTTTCGCTTTCACACCAAACAATTGGTTTGAAAATAAGAGACGTAACAAGTCCAGTCCTGAATACAATGAACAATGTTTGCTAAAAATATTTAATAATGAAAATATTTACAAAATGGAGACCAAATGTCCATATTTTAGCAGTTTGGTAGCTGAAAATCAAAATACCGATTTGAAACACAAACGAGCAACATACACCTATCAGGACTTGCACATGGACTGCTACTATGTAATTAATGGGTTAAGGATGGAGAGTATACGTCCCTAAAACAATGAGAAGCGACCAACCTTTCAGATTGCAAACAAAACAGCATGAGATGGAATAGATTACTTCATCACAGCATGAGATGGAATAGATTACTTCATCCCTTTTCCCATCTTACGTTAGTAAACACAAACAAAACCTCACAATTGTAAAATGACCTTAATTTACAAAGATGGGTTTCAGGCAAACATGAAAGTTTAAATTAATGTGAGCAGACCTAACCTAACACAATTTACGTGTGGCAGTTGATGCATGACAACTCACAAAAAGATGAATTGTCATTTGATATACATATCTTAATTACTATCCAACAAATTTTTTTCCCCTGAAAAATATTGTCGCATTGTCATATTTGCAACTTTCTAGAAGGTTGAGCGGTTTACCAATAAAATTTACACTTTATTTACTGACATAGAGGACGGATATTTCTGGGTATTTTTAGAGTTCCTTTACCTATCTCTCTTCTTTGTTATTTCTTGCTCTATCATCTTCTGATCACTTTTTTTCTCATCTCTAATCAGTTATCCCTTCTCCATCTTTGCTTCAACAAAATTCTCCTCCTCCCACATCCCCTGCCTCCCCGTCCTCTCTAATCTCCCAGTGCTTTTCCCCTCATCCATTTTTCTTTTTCTTTTTCTTTTTTATTAGAGATGATGCAATGCAGGTAGAAGTTACATCAACTTGACATTAAAGCATGTTAGAGCTTCATGGATAACTCGAACATGGTTTCACATATTTTTTCTTGACAAATAAAATTTATACAAAGAAACCTAGGGGACACAAGCATGGTTTTACACATCATTTGTTAAGTCGCCACTAGGATCGTGGATCTATGTTGAGAGTGCTACTTTGTGAGATTATCAAAAGATAACTGATAGATGGTTCTACTTCCAAGATCAAAGATTCTTGTTTATTGTTTTTTCATGTTTACAGGAGATGGACCTTATCTGACACCATCTATTGTAGGATATACAATACCTAATTTGTGCAAACGCATGAAAAATACTGCAGTTTGCTACTCTAAGATTGAGACAGAATCCACAAATTTACGGCACTTTGACCATGCCAAATTGCATATTTGACCAATCCATGTCTACAACCCATGGTTCTAGTGGAGAAAAACCAAGAAACATTTTTGGTGAAATGAAATCGTGGTCCTCCAGGTCAACATTCTATGACCATCAGACCAGACAACTCACTCAATGTATTGGATTTAATAGCCATAAATATGCATACTATTTGTATGGCATGTCATCTCCCTCCAAGCATTTCGTTCAGGGAAGACTAAGCATATTTAACATCTACAACCAGGTGTTATTAGTTACGTTTCTGCAGACACAAATTGCAATACACACATAAGTTTGACTAAAAATAAAAATATTATACACAAAAACACACTTTAGAGTCTTAAACAGATAAACAAGGGAGAAGTCCTCTAGACTATCCAAAGTTTTAAAAGCTACAGCTCTAGCATTCTTGGTCTGCTCTCGCTCATGCTCTAGCTACAGATATATCTGTTGCAATGTTTCTGAATATTTTTCTGGTTCTCTAGAGCAGACAAATAAGACTACATTCTTGTAAAGTGAGGCTGCCTCACAGATGAATAGAACTGCAAGTAAATTGCAATAGCTTTGGTATCTCTCTCTCTCTCTCTCTCTCTCTCTCTCCTGTATGAGTTACTGTCTTGCTTGGGTAATTAAGTAATAGTATCAGGGATTGTTTGGGACTTGGTTTTTTAATATATTTTTTGATTGTTCTGTTCCTGTTCTTTGTATTTTCTCTCTCAATGTTTCAAAAGGCTCAAGGCGCACCGAGGCGATAAAGTCTCCTATAGCCTAAGTGCAAGGCGCGAGTAGTAAAAGAAAAGCAAAATTATAAAATAGGCAAACTTTTTAACATAACAAATATATGTAGTATATTAAAAATATAATATCCAACAAAAAGTATAAAGTATCACATTCACATCCAAAACCTTATGTATTAAGATCATCCACATAAACTTCAAAACAACTAAGGCGGGGGAAAAAACAGATAGATAACAGAGGAGGAAAAAAACAGAGGAGAACAAAGGAGGGGAAAAAACAGAGGAGAAACAGAGGGAACAGAGGAGGAAAAAAAAACCAAGGCGCAAAAGAAGACAACCAGAGAATAAGAGAAGTAGAACAGAGGATAAAAAAATAGAGGTAGAGAAAAAGACCAGAAAAGCGAGAGAAGAGGAGAAGAAGACCAGAGAAGAGAGAGAAGCTATGAAGCATGGATACTCCAAAAATAGTGCCGTACACGTACCGGGTACTTACCGGGTACAGGTACGCGTACTGGTACGACTGCATGCGTACCGGGTACGGCAAAAAGTAGTCGGGTACGCCTGGTTCAGTCGGGTACGGCATGGGTACAGCTTGGGTACGGCATGGCTACGCTTTTGGTGCGTTTCGGGTACGTCGGGGGTAGAAATCAAATTTTCTGGAGAATTGAGGGGTACCGGAGCAATATTAAGAAAAATTTAAAAAAAGAAAAAAGAAAAAATGATATATACGAATGAAGTTTGTTTTGCCCTAATCTCATCACTTTTGCCCTAATCTCATCAATTGAGCAACACAGCACCAAGAGGCGACATAGAAGCAAAGAGGCGATGGCGACCCAGCCATTCCCTTCCGGCGACGGCGACGCAAGGAGTTCCGGTGAGTCTTCTTCTTCTTCTTCGTCTTCTTCGCCTTCTTCACCTTCTTCTTCTTTGTTTCATCTTCCACCCTCGTCTTCTCTCATCTTCTTCGTTTCTTCTTCTTCTTCTAATTTTTTTTTTTTTTTGCAGAGATCAGCCAGCATCTATCAACAAGCATCTATTTTCGTCCCTTGCATATCAGTCATACCTAGCAACCAAGCAACTAGTATGATTTTGTTTTTTTGTTTTTTTTGTCCCTTGTTGCATAACTTGTTTTTGTCCCTGAATAACTGGTCAGAATTTGTTGCATAACTGGTCATAATTTTTTTCCCCTGAATAACTTGTTTTTGTCCCTTCATTTTTTTCCCCTGGTCAGAATCTCCTCATCTTTATTTTTTTTGTTTTTTTTCTTGTTTCTTGTTTCTTCTTTCTTCTTCAGAGAGGTATAATCTGATGTAGAACCAAAAAAAAAATTAGAGAGGTATAGAAACCAAGTTATTCAATCATATTTAGAACAAAAAAAAAATTAGATCAAAAAAATTAATAAATTAGAACACAAAAATTAATAATCAATCATACTTACATAATGTTAATAATCAAAAAAATTAATTATAAAAAATAAAAAAATATCGGCGTACCGCAGCCGTACCCGTATCCTACTTTTTTGGGATTTTGCCGCATCGGCGTACCCGCACTCGTACCCGTACCGTACTCGTACCTGCACCCGTGCTTCTTAGGAGAGAAGAGAAGAAGGCCAGAAAAATAAAGCAAAAAAAAACAGAGACAAAAAAAACAAAGAAAAAAACAGACAGAAAAAGACCAGAAAAGAGAGGAGAAGCAGACCAGAAAAGAGAGAAGAAAAGAAGACCAGAAAAATAAAGCAAAAAAAAAAACATAGGCAGAGAAGAAAACCAGAGAAAAGAGAGAAGAGAAGAGGAAAACAGAGAAGAAAAGCAGAGAAGAAGAGAAGAACCTACGTGGCCTGTGTTGAAAGGCAAAGAACTGTTTCGTCTTCTCCTATCGCGTCATCTTCTTCTTCTCCACCCACTAGGGTTTTTTTAATCTTTTTGCTCTTTTGGACCACGTTTTGGTCATTTCATAATGTAAGTGAGATTTTATTCCATGTGGGTATCCCCACAGAAAGCCAGATGAGCTGTTGGACGGGAAGACACGCCCTTGCGCCTCAAAATAAGGTGCTCGCTTCAGCGCCTCAACTGCGCCTCACCTCGCGCTTAGGCACGATTTTCAAAACACTCCCTATCACTTCATCTTTTTATACTTATTCTTGTCCACTTACCCCTCTGCTTTATCTTTTCTTATCGAAGAGAACCTCTGTAAAAGTCGCAGCAACAAGCCTAAGGAACTGCAGAGTATTGGGTATGTCACTTTCCATCACAAAATGAATGGACATTTACCAAAATGGCACATGGAAAGATGACATCGTGATTTTTAGGAATTTAAACGTAACTTTAGCACTGTGTTAAGTAATAACGGATCTACCATGTCATAGGAATGAAAAATTATTCCATGCCACATGTGGAATATGAAAGTTTTGCCAAATGATACAGAAAGTCCCTGGTAGGAACAATATGAAAGCATCATAGTCCAATAGCCTGAACTCTGATTTGTTTTTTTCTCAACTTCTCATGAATGCAGTAAGGCCCTTGACTTTCTCTGGCTTTTCATGTATGTAACTGTCAGTTAATTGGTTATGGGATTGGTCACAGCTTCATCCTGCAGTCCTCACGAATTTGTTGTTTCCCTGGTCATAATTTGTTTTGGCATCTTCTCTATCTCAATCCTACTTAGTACTACAAGGTGCACAATCCCATACACAAAGTACCAAAAAAAAAAAAAGGACAAATTACACCAATGGTCCCTATAAGGGAAGTGATTGAGACCCTCTCCAATCACCACCTCCACACACACGTGAGGGCTGGTGATTGGAGGAGAAGGGAAAAAAAAAAAACTGGCCAATTAGAGAGAGAGGGGGTCGTGGGGGTGCCCCCTTGTGGGGGTCCAAGTCATTTTCCATCCCTATAATTTGCCCCTAGTGTCAATTAGTACATATAGTTCAAATTGTGACACATTTCACCTTTAAATCTTCATTTATGTGTCAAATAGGAAAAAAGTTCAATACATCAGTGATACCACGTCATCAGTATCACCATCCAATAAACTCTTGGTTCATTAGAATGAAATGGAATGGTCATTCTATCAACATATCTATTCTTATGTTTGGTTGACTAAAAAAATAATAAAAAAATGTATTGCAAATGAAATTATCAAATGATCATTCCATAGCTGAGCTTAAGGAATCATCATTTCATTCCATCTCATTCCTATGAACCAAATGGAGTATAATATCTGAAAAGTGGGGTTCACCCTCGACCTGTGAGTTTATTATTGATTGGTGATACGACATCATCAGTATCACTGTTACACTGAATTTTTACTCATCAAATAGGTCCAACGGCTAACAGTTAAATGTCTCAAAAATACAGACTATAAATGTTACCTGTTCTAGTTTGAGCATTTGTAAAATGTCACAAATACTTCAATAAGTTCACTCACTATCCACTTCATAAGTTCTCAGCCCTTAAATTATAACCACGATATTTTTCATAGCATCAACAAAAAAACAAAACAAAACAAGAAAGTATAACATCAAAGTTCATTAACATCTTGCTTCCTGACCTTTTCCCTAACAATGTCAAGCCCTAACCGTGATTAATTATACGTAATGAACAACCAAAACCAAAATTCATCCAATAAACTCTCACTTACTCAGATAATTTCTCTTCTCAGTCGAATACGAGTCCAGTTACTGTCACTAAAACATAAATTCACGTAAATGAAGATGGAATAAAGTAACGAAAGTTTGATTCTAACCTTGAACAGCAGTGTCCTGAGCCTCGCAAACGATTCGTCCACCACGGCGGCCGAGTCTCAAACTCACCGATCCCCGAGAGACAGTCGTAGAAGTAGATTGAATCTTCAGACCTCTGAACTCCGGCAATACCGATTTCCGGCCGCCGGAGAGTGAACAAACTGATGAGCTCCCGATCGGAGACAACTTGGCCGATGTAAAGCCAGAGGCCCGAGGGACAGTTAGGGTTTCGAGTACACCAGCCATCGAACTAGACGACCGAAGCGAGAGAAAGAGAGAGAAGTGTGGAGAGTAGATAGTTGGAGATCTGAGAGTTCAGATTTTTACGGAAATGGAGAGAGAGAGAGAGAGAGGATGTTGTGGTTGGCTGGAGTTTGTTTGGTTATATGTGAGGAGGAGGAGTGGATGACGATTGAAGAGTGATTGGTTTGTGCGTTGTTGACATCAAAGCCAAGCCCACCTCTGCCTCGGACTTGCCACTTGGACATGTTTTGGGCTTTGGATAGGTTCCTGCTGTATTGGGCTCTTGTCAGAAGTACTAACCCATTTTCTTTTGAAAAAATTAATCCTAATATATTTTTAATAGATTCACAGTTTTTAAGTTTTATACTTAAAGATTTCATTTTTTATTTTCGTATTTTGTAAATGACTATATTATCATTTATTTTGAGATTTATATATACGTAAAAAATCAAATTTTTGCTTCGTTTAAAAAAGAAAATCAAATCTTAGTCTTTGCGATCTCGATTTCTCTTCGTTATGGCGATCTCATTGTACTGTGCGGTCGATCTCATTGTGCTGTGAGGTGGATCTGGTTATGCAATCTGAATCTCTGTGTACAGGCGAGCTCTGCATACAAGCAGAAAACTACAGCTATATGGTTTGTATCTGTCGATACATATATGTATGTGTATGTATGTATCTGTCGATACATACATATACATATATATATCTCTGTGTGTGTATATATATATGTATGTATATATAGATAAGCAAATTTGCGTGATGTCTGGATTGTGTTTGGCAATATTGTTTTTGCTTTTTGTTTTTTGATAAATTTTGTTTGTTTGATACTTATTTATTTAATTTTTGTATGTGATATAGTCTAATGATTTTGATTTGGTTGATTTTGTTTGTTGTATAGTGTAATGTGTTTTGAAGTTGTAGTTTGAAATTATGAATTCTGGTGTTTTGATACTGATATGTTGTAAGTGTATGATTTTGCAGTTTGGAATCTGTGAACAATTGTTTGTTGGTTTGTGATTTTGTAGTATGGAGGGGTGTTTCATGTTAATGTGCAAATACAGTAATTGTTGTGTTGCTATTAAGATTAGTGAGGGATGTAGTTATAATGAAGTTGTTGAGAAAATATGTGCAAAATTCAAGGAGTTGAGTGTTGGTAACTTTTGTTTATTTTTCTCTATTGCTGGATATTCTAATTGTATTGTTGAACGTGATGATGATTTGTGGAATATGCTGTCAATGGTAGGTGGTAGTGGTTGTCATGTTATTGATGTTGTTGTGGGTGATAAGAGAATTGTGGAGGTTGATGATTGTAATTCTTGTAGAATTGATTCTGTAATTGGTGAGAGTTCTTTGGTTAACGATTGTGATGATTTTGGTGGTTTGTTGCCTAGTTTTTATCCAGAACCAGAGAGAGTTTTGTTGTCTGCTAGTTGGAAGGAGATTATACATAGTGTTGGTCAAGAATTTGAAGATGGAGTGCCAGCGTGCCGCATTGCATTGGCTAAGTATGCAGTTGAGTGTGGTTTTGCAGTGAATTATTTGAAGAACGATGCAACAAGAGTAACTGCTGAATGTATGATGAAGTCGTCCACGAGTTGTAAATGGTTTGTGCATAGGAGGGTGTTGATGAATTTCGGTATTTTTTTTTATAATGAAGTTGGATAATGTGCATACTTGTGGGGTTATGGCTCGTAGATCTTGTAGCAAAATGGTTGGTTCTAGACTTGTGTCTGATATTGTGCAAAATGATATTAGTGATAATCCGTTGACTCGTCCTATTGAAGTTAAAAAAAAAGTTGAAGAAGCAATATGGTAGAGATGTTTCTTATCGGGTTGCATGGTTAGGAGTTGATAAGGCAAGAGGTAGGTTGTTTGGTGATTTTGTAACTTCTTTTGACCAACTTCGATGGTACCTTGAGACGGCTATGAGAATGAATCTGGGAAGTGTGTTTGAATTAGATGTGGATGAAAGTAGTGGGTGTTTTCGGAGGTTGTTTGTGGCATTTCATGGATGTTTGTATGGCTTTTAATTTTGTCGTCTGTTGTTGTTTATTGATGGTACATTCTTGAAGGGGCGTTACAAGGGGCATTTGCTTGCAGCAACATCAAAGGATGGTAATCAAGGTATATATTTATTTGCAGTTAGTATAGGTTTGGTTTGTCAGTGTGTTATTGTATTGTAAGTCTGCTAATTTTTGCAGTTTAATATTATGTTGTTTGCAGGTCTGTTTCCTTTGGCTTTTGCGATTGTTGACGCTAAAAATCAAGATAATTGGATGTGGTTCTTAAGTCAATTGTTAAAGGGTGTTGGTTCAGGCCGGAGATTGACCTTTGTCGGACCGTCAACATGGATTGCTAGACGCTCTTTCAGTGGTTTTTCCCAATGCACATCATGCATATTGCTTGAATCATTTGAAGAGAAATTTGATTGACAAATTGATGGGACTTCGTACTAACTATAAGCTGAATTTGATGAAAATATTAGTTAAATGTGCTTATGCGCCAACGGTTGCTTCTTTCCAACATTATATGGAGAAATTAAGGCGTATTGCTGGGAATGGTAGAGTTGATAGTATGTTGGATGGTTTGCAAAATGATAAGTGGGCGAATGCATTTTTTAGAGGGAAACGATATGGTGAGATGTCATCTAATGTTGCCGAGTCTTACAATAATTGAATTAGTGGGGCCCGTGAGTTGCCTATTACTTGTATGGTTGATATGATTAGGGTTCAAATCGTGACTCAATTATCGAATAGAAGAGCTAAATCTAAAAGATGGACTACGAAATTGTGTCTTGCTATGGAAAAGAAGTTGGTGGACTCTTTAGAGCTAGCTAAGTCTTGGGATGTGATTGTTACTAGTGATACTGTGCTTGAGGTTCATTCTTCTATTTTTTTTAATGTTGATATTGGTAAACAGACTTGTTCTTGGCATGAATGGCAATTGAATTGTTTTCCTTGTTGTCATGTTGTGCATGCTTTGCGTAGTAGTGGTAGAGATGTGTATGATTTCATTAATCCCTTTTTTCATGTAGATTGTTTTAGAGAGTCATACAAGGAATCTGTTTATCCAGTGCCTTCAAGTGAGATTTTGATGGTGCCAGTAGTTCGATTATCAAACCTCTTATAACGAAGAAGCAGCCCGGGCGGAACAAGAAGAAGATGATACCTACTAGGGGTGAGAATGTGAAGCAAATCAAGTGTGGGAGGTGCTTGAAATATGGGAATCATAATAAGAAGACGTGCAAGGCTGCTATTTGAGGCCACAGTCTATTCTTTTGGATTTGTAATTGAATTTGAGAAATTATGATAATAAAAAATGTGATACTTGGTATTATGGAAGTAATGAATAAAGTTGGTTGAATTATTTTTTGTTTTTTGATGTGTTTTTTAGTCATTGAAGTTGTTTTGTAACAGTTTTGTTTTTTATTGTTTTTTTTTTTTTTTTTTGGGTTTGGTTGGTTTTATTTTTATGGAATGCACGGAAGGTTGTTGAAAATTTCTTATTGAAATGCAGTTTTACTACATGATTCATTTATTTCATATTTTATAGCGAGAAAACTGTAAAATTTTGCAGTTTTATTTTCAATTTTGAAATGTAGTTCATCTATTTGTTGAGTCATGAAATTGGATGCATAATTGTGTAGCATAAATTTTGTTTGAGTAATGAAACTGTATAATTTTGCAGTTTGAAGAATTATAAGAAACAACCTGATGAAACTGCATAATTTTGCAGTTTTAAGAATTATTAGAAACAACCTGATGAAACTACATAATTTTGTAGTTTGAAGAATTATTAGAAACAACCTTTACTGTATGAAAATATATGCAACCACAAACAAATACACAAACAATCAGAAGTACAAGCACAATAATAATAACAAGAAGAAGAGCAACAACAACATCAATGACAACAATCATTTTCACCATAATAACCAGAAGAAGATCATTCCCAAAAGTATATAAAGTACTTGTCACGTGTTAAAAAAAAAAAAAATACAAAGATATGTTCACTTGAATATTTGTATTGTCAAGAAGTTTGTTCATTGTTTTTATAGTTTGGTATGTTTTGTCAACATTTGGTAGTGCACGAGTTGCCAAGATCGGATTTCATCATTGAGGAATTGACTGATGATTTCTGCTCGAAATTTGACCCACTCAGTTGGTCGAAGTGATTTCTGCACAGGTTGCCAGTTGATATATTGGTTGATAATATTGTAGACGGCGATTGCACAATCATTCCTGCAAAGTTTTAGATGAAGTTAATTAGTTACGTAAAACTGCAAAATTAGCATATTGGAAGATTAGTTTATTGATTTTGTATCTTATGAGTGTGGGGTTTGTTGTGGGCATTCCTCAATTAATGCAATTACTGTCTCGCACTCTTGAGATGATAACATGTTTCCTTGATTGTTGAGTAATGCTTTATTCCATCTGAGTTGATGTTGTTGCTACAAAATAGTTAGTGGGTGTTTTTGTTAGTTATAGTGATGAGTTGAGATGTTTTTAAAGGAATGGAACTAAGTAGGAAATTTTATTTAACTTACTGTAACAACCCTCATACTGTTTACCGATTAATGACTGATTGATTACCGATAACCATCGATTACCGTTAAACTGAATTGATTATGACTGATGATTGAACTGATTAAAAGTACTGAACCGACTGACTGAAATTGAAACTGAATTAGCCAAGTATATCTATTGTGTTGCACATTCTATCTGTTTGATTGATTAATTATCTGTTCGTGTCTTTGTGTTTAAACTGCTAATTGAAAGCCTTATCGGCGGCCGAATCCGGAATTGATTGAAGTTTTATGATCGTCATAATTAATGTGATTTTATAGTAAAGTTATCTGAAAAATGATTAGGTATGATTAAATTAGATTAAAACGAGTTAATTGCAAAGTTTGCCGTAATTACCAACTTGCCACTAAGTGGGCCACTATCTCACACACCTTTGAGCCTTGTATACACTCATACACTTGCATCAAAACAAAACCATTTCCTCAGCCCTTTTTCCTTACACTAGCCGACCAAGAGAGGAGATAGGAGAGAATTGAGCTCAACTTGAGAATTGCTTGCTAATTGAAGTGTGGATTGCTAGATTGAACCTCAAGACTAGTAATTAAGGACCTTAGGTATGAATTTCACCTTCTCATTCTTGTGTTTGAACTAATTCTTGCATGGTCCATGTTAAATTGTAGAGCTAAGTCATGTTTTAGTTCATACATGTTGATATAGAATATAATTCATGCTTGCATGTGTTCTTGGTTGAATTTGGAGTTGAGTTCATGGCAAAATGGTGCATGCATGTCCATAATTGTGTAATGGTCCATGTTTTCAACTTGTTTTTGGATCAATTGGCTCCTTAGAGCATCAGATTGGAACTTCCAAATGGTTTGAATTCATGCATGTTTGCATGTTCATCTTGTGCTTGAAAAATGGTTTAAATTGAGTTTGAATTAAACACCCTTGGGCTTTGATTTCTCAAAATTGAGCTTTGAAACATGTTATTCTATGTGTTTATAAATGTTTTCCAGAAAATGGGCCCAAGAGGATCGGTTTTGATGCATTTGAATGTGAGTTTGAGCTTGGAGATGCAATCTGGAATTCCCAGATTTTCCACTTCCGCTCGAGCGGTGGAAGTGCCGCTCGAGCGTGGAATCCGAGCATCCAGTATCTCTGCACTGTTTTACAGTCCGCTCGAGCGGAGGATTGGGCGCTCGAGCGGAGTCATGTCTCAAGCTCGAGCGGGCGTCGAGCGGAGATTTCACCCATCCAGTACTTTTACAGTACGCTCGAGCGGGAAAGTTTACGCTCGAGCGTGTACCTTTGTTGCATGTCCGCTCGAGCGGGGAAACATGCGCTCGAGCGGGACTCTGTTTTTCTGAAAACTCCGAGACTGTTTTCTGATCACATCTTTGCATCCTCATCCCATTCTAGGCATTCTTAGACCTAGTTTAAGGCATCTTATTGAGGATATAGATGCAGAACACACCGAGGCAAATTAGGGTTTAAGTTGTTATCTTTCCTAACTGTGTAGCTTAGTGTGTGTTCAACCTGTGAACTGTGTAGGGTTGGCGACTGGGGAGGCACGCTCTAGCATACTGTAACCCAAACTCTGTGAGTAACAACTGTGTAAAGATATGTTCAAAATGATTATTTTCTGAACAATTGAACTGTACTGCTTTCTGAACTGTTACTGTTAATTGAATGAATGTATGTCCTCTATTCTGAACTGTATTGTGGCATCCTTAGCAACTACTGTTACTGACTGTTACTGTTACAGAGATCTCTGTCGGTTCCCTCGTGGAACCACTACTGTTTACTGATTGATGGCCATCAATACTGCTCGGTCTTTAAGACCTACTGTTTACTGCTATGCTAATGGATGTACCACATATGACTGAATAACTGTTCTGACTAAAAGACTGAAGTATTGTTTAATGGACTGTTTTCATTACTGCAAGGACATTCATTCTTAAACCCTTTACGCATCATGTTATTCACTGGGCTTTAGCTCACTGTTTATATATATATGTAGGTGCTCAGCCACCAGATCGGAGCTAGGAGCGTGGGTTAGACTCCAGTTTTGTCAAGCCAGCCTATGTGCCTCACTGCGAGGTTCCGAGCCTATCGTGTTAGGGCTTAGGGGTGTTTTCAAATTTCCCCTTCTGTACCGTCTACTGTTCTGTATAGACTGAATGTTTACTGTACTGTTATCAAGGGATTAGGTCCCTGTACTGTGTGACTGTAAATTTTGTATAGACTGTACTGTTTGTTTATGTGAATGCATGAAAAATCTTTTTGGCATACAGACTGACACAGCTCAATGGACATTATTCATTTACTGTATTGGCTTCCGCCAGGCCCTGTACTCTGTTTTACTGTACTACTGTTCTGCAGGCCTGTGGTAATCTCGGATTACTGGCCGGTTACGGTGTTAAACCCATAGGGCCGGGTTTGGGTCGTGACACTTACAATTTCCTTTGCAATTTCAAAGTGCTTGTTGTGGCAATCTTTTGCTGGTCTTAAAGAGTCATAGTGTCTCCATATCCCATCAGCATTGTCAAAGACCACAATTGTCCAATGGTTGTCGTAGTTGATTGGGAAATAGATATATCTGTTTTTCATTACTTCTGGAAATGGATGTCCATCATTTTTTCTCTCAGTGCTTGATCTTGGTTTTGTAGTGGAGTCTGTAAGTTATATATATATTTGAAATATGTTATAAAACTATGTAGTAAGACATGTTAAGAAAGTAGAAAATTTTGCAGTTGAAATGTATGTTAAGTTTTGCTTATATTGATGAGTGTTGAGAAAACATAAGATCTTCTTGCGTATGGATTTCTTGCAAAGGTTAGATCATTTTTCTCAAATTCTTCAATGGTTGGTTGGAGTGCTAATTGCTTTTCTGAGAAGGCATCAATGACTTGAAACACGTTATATATGAGCATGTGTTAGGTTTGTGGAATAGGTTATTGAATATGAACAAAAACTGTAAAATTGTGCAGTTGGAGACCTACATTCCCATATAAAGGTTCCCTGTTGGTCAATCTACATATATCTGAAAAGTATACGCAATTTTCATCTTCGCTGCTAAACCAGACACAAGCACTTGATTGTGTGTTGTTGATGAGTTGAATTTGGTCTTGGTCTTTTTTGGATAGGCTATGCCAAACCTTGTTTGTTTTGCGGCAAGAAATGGCAAGTGGCTTGTTTTGGATTGATTCTTCCTTGAAATCATCATCACTTTCCAATACTTGAAGTTGTGTCTTCTCTTGATTGGCATGCTCTTTTGGGTTGGTTTCAGCAGCAACTGCTTTCTCTTGGCCAATATCTTTTTGCATCTTTTCTTTCTGCTGTTATTTTGCTTCATGAACACCCTCTTTTTGCTCGAGTTCAGTAGCAGGTTTTGTCTCAGTTTCGATTTCTTCTTTTTTCTTTTTATTCTTCTTCTCTTTTTCTTCATCGGTACCCTCTGTTGGTTTAGGTACATCAGCAGCAGTTTGTGTCTTGTTCCTTGTATCTTCTTTGGCTTTTGTCATTGGTTGGTATTCAAAATTTGGGTCATGCGCTTGTTTTCTTGACTTTTGTTTGATTCTCTTGACCATTGATCTTTGTTGGGGACTGCCAGTTTTTTTGGTGGACATTTCCTTCAATTGATCTTCTTTTTTACGCAATTCAGCCATAAATTTTTGTTCCATGTCTTGTATTTGTGCTCTCATGGCTGATATGAGCTTGTCCTTGTTGTCCTTTTTGGTTGGTGTTTGTGGTTGGTCATGACCTATAAAAATGTTGGATTGTGTTTTGGTTAGTTTAATTAAATTTGCAGTTTGCTTTAGTAGTAGACAATAATTTACCTTGTGTATGAAATATGTCAGATTTCTTTTGGAGTTCTTCTTGTTGGTTTGTCATTTCTTGTTCATTAACTTGTTGTTGTTGGTTTGTTTGTTGTTCTTCTTGTTCTTGTTGTTGGTCTTTTTCTTCATTAGTGTCTTCTGGTTGATCACCTTTTGCTTCATGTCTTTCTTCTGCTTCATCATTGTCTTGTTGTTCATCAGGTTCTTTTTCTTTTTCTTTTTTTTTTCTTCTTCTTCTTCTTCTTCTTCTTTAGTTTCTTCTTTATCAGCTTCTTCTTCATCAGTCACTTGTTTTTTTCTTCATCACTCTCTTCTTCTTGTTCATCACTTTCTGGTTCTTCTTGTGATTTTTGTTTTGTTTTCTTTTTTTTGTTGTTGTTCTTTTTGTTCTGGTTCTAATTGATGTTCTTCTTTGAGAAAGTCATCATCATCACTGTCTAGAAGTCTTTTTTTTTTTGTTGCTTTTGTTTTCTTTTTTCGCTTATTGTCCTTTTTGTGGTCATGTTTCTTTGCTGAAGAGTCTGTTGATGTGATTTGATCGATATGCAATAACTGTATTTATTGTTCAGTTAGGGTTAAAGAACTTTGGTTATCTTGCATTGGAACAATGTGGCATATATGAGTAATACTGTAAAATTGGTCAGTTTCATAAGATGAGTTGTACTGTGAGTAATGTGGGTTAAGTGTCGAAATATGTTGCTTGAAACTGAAAATTTTTACAGTTTCATAATATGTGTGATGTGAAATAGATTTGTGCATTTAAACTGTAAACTTTTGCAGTTTCATAACATGAGGGATGTTAAATAAGTGTGTGCTTTGAAACTGCAAACTTTTACTGTTTCGTAATATGATTTGTACTGTGAATAATGTGAGTCAAGTGTTGAACATATGTTGTTTGAAACTGAAGAATTTGACAATTTCATAACATGATTTTTACTATAATGACTGTGAAATGGGTGTTGAATAGATTTGTGCTATGATAGTATAGAAGAGTTTGAATACCTCTTCAAAGTGAGCAAGGCTGATGTGTTTCCACTTGGAGTATATTTTGCCAAGGTTCCATTTCATAAACTTTGGGAAGCCTTCTTTGTTGGATTGTCGGAGGAGTTTACTGTGCTCACAGTACCAGTACTGTAAAAAAAATTGAAATATGTTAGATAGTTAGAAATAGGTGGACGTCTGATATTTTTGTGTGAAGTAGTTGAGTAATGTGTTAACCAAGAGTAACATGACGCATCCAGTGACATGCCTTGAGTTGTTGTTTGCATTTGCCATTGAATTCATCAGTGTGTCTTTTATTGCCTTAACCCAATTGTACTTCTTGATGTTGTTGAGATTGTTAACATAGTTGAAGAAACTCTAACTGAGTGTATGGCCTGTTGTAGGCATGAGAAGTTTCAAGCACAAGTAAAGAGTGATGACCCTTGCAAGATCTTGACGATCATTGGTTGATTTTCCTTTTTTTGTTTGTTGAAACATTTTGGTCAAAGACCTGCCATCCAACCTCTTTACTGATTTGCATCTTCGTTTGTAAAATGAAAGCTCAAAATCCTTTGGTCTTGCATAGGGTTTGGTGGTGATGTTGTCTTCTCCACAATCGATACCAAAAATGAGCTTGACATCACTGTTTATGAGTTTCATTTCCTTTTTTTGTTTGTTGAAACATTTTGGTCAAAGACTTGCCATCCAATCTCTTTACTGATTTGTATCTTCGTTTGTAAAATGGAAGCTCAAAATCCTTTGGTCTTGCATAGGATTTGGTGGTGATGCTGTCTTCTCCACAATCGATTCCAAAAATAAGCTTGACATTACTATTTGTGAGTTTCATTTCCTTTTTGCCAAGTATAAATACTCTTTTTCTTTTGTTGTAGAGTGTTGTCATTTCTGCTACAATGGAATTGTAGCATCTGCACCAAGAGGCTTTCAATTGTGTTGAGGAGAGAGCATTTATAATGGGCCAAAAAGGGATTTTTTCCAGCTCTGTCTGTTGGGCTTTTGTGAATTTGACTCCCTTTAACAGTTTGATTACTATTCCGATGTTGGAACGGTAATTAAATTGTTGGACTCTCTTTGCAGGTACTGCTGCTTTTTTCCCTTTTGCTGCCTTGGTTTTTGTTATGGGAGTTGATTGGCTTTCTTGGAGCTTTCTTTTTTTAGTTGGAGGAGCTTCTTGTTTTTTTGTTGGCTTTCTTTTGTTTGTTTTTGTTGTGGTTGGAGGTGTGGTTGATGTTTGTTGTGTGGGTGGGGTCTGTGGTGTAGTTCTTGGGTTTTTTTTTGTAGGTAGTATGGTTGTTTTGTGAGTGTTTTGGTGGGGTCTGTGGTGTTTGGTTATTTTTTGTTGTGGTGGTTGGGTTTTTTGTGGAGGGGGAGATGTTGGTGGCATTTCAGTGGATACAAGAGACGGACTTTCAAAAAGGGAGATACTTAAATCCCTGATTGGATTTTTAGGCATATGGGTTTGTTTCTTTCAATATCTTCAAACAGCTATTTCTGAAAAAATGAAAGTGACAGCAGGGTATGAGTAATATAGTGACAAAACTGTATAATTTTGAAGTTTTATATGCAGTTTAATATAAAGTTATATGTATTTGTTGGTAACAGTTACGAAACTGTATAATTTGATAGTTTGATTTGCATTTTATAATAAGTTACCTATTTGTTTTGAGTAGTGATTAAACTGTGTAATTTTGCAGTTTCATTTGTAGTTTAAATAAATTTAGATATGTTAATTGTAGAGTGATGAAATGAAACTGTATGATGTTGCAGTTTTTGTAAACAGTATCAACAATAGGAACAACCCATTGTATTTTGTAAACAGCAACAATAACAACGAGAAGATTAAGTATTCAAAAATAACAACAATAAGAAAAGGCAATATTGAACAACGAGAATAAGAATAAGGTGTTGAATGTGTAAAAGCAGAGATTTATGTGTAAAAACAGTGGATTAGAATGTTTAAAAACAGGGGACTAAAATGTTGTAAAACAGGGGATTATATATGAAAGAGGGTTTATACATTTTGAAGTATGTAAAATGTATATATACGAAATATGAAAGAATAATATACAAATTTGAATGAAAAATAATGAATAGGTGAAAAGATATGTTACTTTTTTTCCCATTTTTGTAAATCGGAAGTCAGAAACTATGAAATTTCTTCAGAGTGGTGATGGTTCTTCGTGTTGTTGAGAGTCGTCGATTGGAGAATATGAACGGCTTGGTGTTGTGTTGAAGATGAACGATTTCGTTTTGTGGTTAGAGTGGGTTTCAGAGGGAATGGAGTCGAACGGAGGAGAGATAGAGGAGTGAGAATGCGATTTCGAGCGGCGGAGATGTAACAGTGTACTGATCAGACTGAGATGATCGTGGGTGATGAAGATGAACAGTTTCATTTTGTAGTTAGGGTAAGGTTTCAGAGGGAATGGAGTCGAACGGAAGAGAGATGGAGGACTGAGAATTCGATTTCGAGCGGCGGAGATATGACAGTGTACTGATCAGACTGAGATGATCGTGGGTGATGGTTGCGCGTGTGTAAATTGGATGATATATTGTGGGTATTTTCGTCTTATTGATAATTTGAGGACTTAATGGAGTATTAAATTTGTTTTGAGCCTAAATGGGGTATGATATGTTGGGCTTAGACCTTTGGGTCAGTTCCCCTTTTCTTTTTTTTTTAAATTTTTTTTTTATCGCTATCTAAAATTATAATTTTAAAACATTAAAAATTATAATTTTTCATTACACTCATCTATGCAGTCTTTCCATCACCACCCCACCACTCTCTCCCCAAATCTTCTTCCTTTTATTCTCCTTTCTTAAATCTAATAACTTGGAGGTTATTTTGGAATATGTGATTTTAGTAATTTTTTAATTTTTTATTAAAAGGTTTAAAAAAAATTTAAAAAGTGATGTAATTTTAAAAAAAAATACTAAGGTGTGTTTGTTTGGACGGGACTAGATAAGGAAGGATTGGAATCCATCAGACTATTAGTCCTGGGATACATTGTTCCTAAATTATTTAGTTGGACTGGATTTGTATTAGTGTATCAGTGGGAATATGACATTGTGATGCATAACAGTATGAGTTAGCAGTGAAGAAAGAGAAAGGTATACTTGAATACTGTGCAGAGCGAGCAACATCTCCCTCCTCTGCACCATGCCTACCAGGGGAATGACTAACTGGAGGAGGCCCTCTGTATACTCTGTGAGCGCCTACAAGTGAAGATAGATAATCAATATCTAAAAGAGGGAAAGTACGAAATGCAAGTTGTAAAGTATGGTCCTTACCTGCGATGCGCCTGGAGCTCTGATGTCCTGCCTCAAGTGGCTCTATCAGAATCTCATAGGCTCTCCCGATTGGCCGCCATTTATTTAGTCATGAGATTAAATGTCAGAAAATGACTATTCGGTTAGATAGAATATGAATCCTATGTTTGTTTGGGATATTATGTAGAATGATAAATGTTCAAATGACTATTTTATCATTTTTCAATTATTTACTATGTAATAACAATATTAAGCATATCTTTAATATTTTAATTATTTTTAACTAGATTAAATAAAATTTATTTTATTTTATTTTTTATACAATTAAATAAATTTATTTTTTAAAAAAATAAATAAAATATCAATAAAAATATATGTTATTTTTTAAATTAAAATTTTAAATAAATTTATTTTTAAAAATAATAATAATAATTAAATAATGAAATTAAATAAAACATCTATTAAAATTTTAAAATAAAACATCAATAAAAATTAAATTAAATAATTTTATTTTTAAATTGAGACATTTAAATTTTATTGAATTTTACTAAATATAATACATAATTAAATAGTAGAGGGTCAAAATGGTCATTTTACCACCTAATCCCATATCCCCCTTATCCCTCCATTTATGTCTCACCTTCCTCCATGGGACACAATGTCCAATAGATTTGGGACTAATAATCCGGTGTAAAAAATTTAAACCAAACAACGGACTATCAGTCTGGATGAACTAATAGTCCAATCCCACTCCTCAATCCCTCAAAACAAACACCACCTAAGTATGTTATTTTAGGTTATTCCCAAACAACCTCTCAATCTATATTTCTCTCTCTCTCTCTCTGACACATATAATACATAGGGAATTAAGAAAGATGATCTTAGGGTTTGGGACTAATTAGTCAATAAAGACAAAACAAATCATTTTAGCCAATAAAACAAAATATCATATCTAAATTATAATCATTTTATTTTTTCTCTCACAATCATCAAATTAACTACACAAAAATCTCATCATCATCCTAAATACAATTTTTTTAGTCAGGTTAAAAAAATTCATCTTAAATGAAGGCTTATAGGGTATTTGGAATAATTTAAATAAGAGAGATTTGGTGATAGACCTCTCACTGTCTAATTTGTCTTTCAAAATGACAAGAATTATATAGGTACTTTCAAAACTCCCTAATATTTTAAAACTTGTTTCTTTTACTATATTACCTTCATATCTATCAGCTCTTCTATTAAGCTATCTTCACAGTGTATTTTAGAGTAAATTTTTACTTTGAATCATATTAAATTTTACTCTGATTCAGAGTAAAATTTTACTCTGAATCAGAGTAAAGTTTACTATGATTCAAAATAAAATTTTATATTGTTAAGCATATCAACATGTTTTTAACCAGAGTACAATTTTACTCTGAATCAGAGTAAAAGAGTCAAACTTTATTCTAAAAGTACAATTTTACTTTGAGTAAAATTTTACTCTAAAAGTACAATTTTACTCTGAATCAGAGTAAAGTTTACTATGATTCAAAATAAAATTTTATATCGTTAAGCAAATCAACATGGTTTTAACCAGAGTAAAATTTTATTTTGAATCATAGTAAACTTTACTCTAATCTAAAATAAAATTTTACTTTGAAAGTACAATTTTACAATGATTTAAGGAGAGTATCCACTTTGAATCACACTAAGGCCACGTTTGTTTTCAGAGGTAGAATGGAGGGGATTCATAGTGAGGGGATTAATAGTGAGGGAATTGATAATGAGGGGATTAAGTAAAATTGTGTTTGTTTTTATGATAGTTGTTAGTGTAGGAATTGTTAAATTATTTTTATATAAAATAATAAAACAAATAAAAAAATATAAAAAATTAAACATTAATATTTTTTTAAAAAAAATCCCAATATATAAAAAATAAAAAAATTTCTAATCCTCTATCTATTTTTCTAATACCATCTCCACCTCTTCCATCTCAATCCCCCTTCCAACCTCCATCTATATCACATCATCTAACCTAATTCCCTCCCCAACTCTGCAAACAAACACAACACTAAATAACCTTACCTCCATCCTAATCCCCTCCCATCTATTTAACCCCAAAACAAACGGGGCTTAAGTATCATGTATTAATAACCTTGCGTGTTTGGTTGTTGAGAAAATCACAGAAACATAACAAGAAAATCACATATAGTTTGGTTGCTGAGAAAATCAACATGTTTTTAATCAGAGTAAAATTTTACTGTTCCAAATCTGTCTCATATATACATACAATCATAGATATACATACATACACTCACACACTCATAGATATACATACATATATACATACATACATACACTCACTCACTCACAGATATACATATACACATTCACTCACTCACAGATATACATACATACACTCACAAATATACATGCATACACTCACTTACCGATATATATATATATATATATACATACATGCCCACACATATATATAAATACATAGGAAGAGCAAATCAACGGAGGCGTAGCGGAGCTTGGCGTGTTCATCGGAGGAACGGAAGAGGATTAGACGCCGGTGGCGTTGGCGAGGTCGACGCAAGAGTTCCAGAGGCGGTAGCTGAGCTTCCAGATCTGAAGCTTGAAGGAGTTAGAGAAGGGAGAGAAGGAGGAGAGAGACAGAGAAGGTGGGGAGAGAGTGAGTAGAGAAGGTGAGAAGATTTAGTTGAGGGTATAATAGTCTGAAAAAATATTTATATAATAAATTTTGTCCTTTATGCAAGACTTTATAATTATGAGGGGGTTTAGAAAATATAATTTTTTTCGTAGTCCTTTTAACAATGAAAGGAAGGTAAATGAGGTTTATAGCCAAATTTCTCTTTAAATAAATAAATATTTTTTTAAATTTTTTATGAAAAGATGTATAATAAAATATATAAATAATATGATTCAAAAAAATAAAATAATAGATAAAATATACTTTTGCAGGGGATGCCAAATAGTGCTTTAGTTGTGGGGGCTGCAAGAGGCGTTGCAATGGTTGAAGGTAATGATCATGGGAGTTGGAAGGCTAAAATAGAAGAAACTGTAACGGTGGTCGCGGGATTGGAGATGGCTATTAGGTAATAGTCACATGGTAAAAATGTTGTCAAGGGATGGTCATGGAGTGGAAGAGTACTATTGGGTGTTGGTCACAATGTAAAAGAGGGTTGTAAGGTGTGATCGCCGTAGTCGAGAGATTTGGGATTGGTGGTTTGAGTAGCTGAAGTAGTGGTGGCTATGGAGCTAGGGTTGAAAGGTTAAAAGGTGCAAAGATAGAATAAAAAAGTTAGGAATAAGATATTTTAGAAGGGTTTGGCTTTGGTCCAATCCACCATCGGACTGGACCGTGCAGTTGGGCCCGTGGGAGCCCACCACGGGTCCTGTTTTGAAAATCTGAATCGTTGAATGTGTAGAACTCTTTGAGGCCCCGTTTGTTTTAGGAGATAGAATAGAGGGGATTGATAGTGAGGGGATTAATAGTGAGGAATTATTAAATTATTTTTATATAAAATAATAAAACAAATTAAAAAATATAAAAAATTAAACATTATATTTAAAAAAAATTCCTAATATGTAAAAAATAAAAAAAAATTCTAATCCCCTCACTATTTTTCTAATACCATCTCTACCTCCTCCTTGCCTATCCCCCTTCCAAGGGTATTAGTAATACCAAGGGACTAATAGTCCCAAGGCTATCTCTCAAAACAAACAAGGGTACTAGTAATACCAAGGTATTAATAGTCCCAATACCCTCCCTATAACCCAAAACAAACGGGGCCCGAGTACTATATGCTTGTAAAAAATCACGTTGATCGGATATCGATAGCTATCTGATCAAATCAGTTTTGTATAAAAAAATGGACGGTGAATAAATTAACGGTTGACAAAAAACTGATTTGATCACATAGCTATCGATATCCGATCAACATGATTTTTTACAGGCATATAGTACTCGAAGAGTTCTACATATTGAACGGTTCAAATTTTCAAAACAGGACCAAAGCCAGATGGTAGACTGGACCAAAGCCAAACCCTTTTAGAATCATGGAGTGTGCAATAAGAGAAAATTAAAAATTTTGGAATTTGTAAGTGTAAATAAAAATGGGTGGAAGGAATTTCTGAGGGGTGTAAATAAAAGCTTCCAAAAGTCATAACTAGGGTGCATATAGAATTTTCCTACTTGTATATATGTAAAATTATCTAAAAAATGTAAAGATGCATCTTTGATCAAAATGATTAAGTTCATACCTTTTGCAAATAATAGAAAGGGGTTATTAATTTCTAATGGATGTCATTAAAAAATATATATAACAATTGTTTTTGTCAAATAAAAAAATTCAAAACAAAAAATCAATAAAAAATGCTAAAATAAACTTGTGGGTTGCTCAAATCTACTTCTCCAACCTCCTGGTGTAATTTATCAAAAGGCCATATCAACCAAATTGCAGATAATGATGTGAGAGATGGCTCTAGTAAAATATAATAGAGTAATGCGAGGGATACAGAATAGAATATTGATGTTTTATGTGTGAGTAAAATATTTGTGTTTCATTTTGTATTTAGTATATGTGAACATAAATTTATTGAATACAATAATATTCATTGGAGATATAATAATATCATAAACTCACGCTATATTTGAATCATAAATTTTTGTAGGAATTTAAAAAGGAAAAGAAAAAATATAAATAAAATATTGTTACTTTTTACTTACATTTCACCCATATTTTTCATTTTTTTTTTTAATTTCTACTCAAATTCATAATCCAAATACAACATCAAAAATTTTATTCAAGAAAAAAAAAATTATCTTTAATTTATGATATGACATATGTGAAACCATGAAATATCCTCTCACATGGATTGTTGGTGAGATTCAATGAAGACAGCTCCATGAACCTACAAGAGATAAATCTAGTTGATGCCACCCAACTGGGATTACCGGCCGGGGACACTCCGATGATGAAGTTAGAATCAAGAATAGTCAAGAATCAAGAATAGTAATGTATATTTGTATGCTGTGTGGAGCAGAAAAGAGATCATACCAAATGCCTTGAGGTGCCTTTCTTTTATAGACGGGGGTGAGCCGAATAAGCCCAATAGTTGGGCCCTTGACAAGCTTTGTTTGGATTAGTCCAATAAGTTGATATTTTTTTTTTCTGGCTTCCACAATTGCCTCAAAACTTTCATTGTCTTCGGTAGAAGGAATTAAAGTTTTTATTGTCGAGTTATGCTATTCAAATAGATGTTAGGTCCTTTGACAAAAAATACGTTTGATAAATGAATAACATAAATGAATGAATGGCTGGATGAATGCATGTATGTATGAATGTATGTACAAATATATGTATATAGAGGAGAGAGGTGAGCTAAAACCAGTGAGTGATACTATCTCTATAATGATGGGCCACGGTATTATAACCCCCGGGTAAGGGTGTAGGTCGCGATATTATAACCCCGGGCAAAGGTGTAATATATTGTTGAGTGCAAAGATTGCTTCCAAATATGGACTTTCGTGCCGAGTTAGAAATATTTCTATATGCCCACGGAAATGATTGCCTGAACCAAATAAAACAAATTAAATAAGGTAGATATATCAGCCAAAAAATGGACCACGGTATTATTA